AGAGATGAGGTCTCGCCAAGTTGCCCAGGTGGGTCTCGAACCCGTAGGCTCAGGCAATCCTCTTGCCTGGGCCTCCCAAAGTGCTGGGATTACAGGCTGAGTCACTGAGCCCAGCCTACAAAAAATTTTCAGAAAGAATTAGCTGGGTGCAAGGTAGCGCTACGCCTGTAATTCCGGCGACTTGGAAGGCTGATAAGGATCGCCAGAGCCCAGCAGGTCGAGGCTGCGGTGGCCGGCAGCCACTGCACTCCAGTCTGGGCGACAGAGTGAGACTCCAACTCAAAAAAAAGAAAAAGAAGAAATGACCAACAAGCAAATGAAAAGATGCTTAATATCATTAATCATTAGGTAAATGCAAATTAAAGATACTACCTCGAACCCATTAGGATGGCTACTATAAAACTAGAAAATAAATGTTGGTGAGGATGTGGAAAAATAAAAATTGGAACACTTGTGCACTGTTGATGAGAATATAAAATGGTGCAACTGCTGTGACAACAGTAGGAAAAAATTAAAATAGAATTACCACATGGTCCAGCAATTCCACTTTTGGGTATATACCCCAAAAAATTGAAAGCAGGGTCTCAAAAAGAGATTTGTTCACTCTGTTTATAGTAGTAGTATTCACAAGCCAGAAGGTAGAAACAATGCATGTACATCAATGGTTGAATGGATAAACAAAATGTGGGATACACAACATAAAATGGAATATTATTCACCCTTAGAAAGGAAGGAAATTCTAACACGTTACAATATGGATGAACATTGAAAATAAACTGTGTAATCCCCTCGGGTCTCCTCTTGCTCTGGGAGCTTTTCTGTTCTCTCAATAAAACCTGCTTTCAAACAAACAAACAAAAAAAGAATCTATTATACTATGTGAAATAAACCAGCCGCAAAAAGACAAATACTGTATGATTCCAGTTATATGAGGTATCTAGAGTAGTCAAATTCATAGAGACAGAAAGTAGAATGGTGATTGCCAGGGGCTACAGACAGGAAGAATGGAGAATTATTGCTTAATAAGTACAGAATTTTAGTTTGGGAGAATGGAAAAAGTCCTGGAGATGGTGGTTGTAATGGTTACACAATAAGGCGAATGTATTTACTGAACTTAATGATTTACTTAACTTTACACATAATATGGTTAAGATGGTAATTTTTCCCCCCTCGGGGTTCCCAAGATGGTAAATTTTATGTTGTGTACATTTTATTACAACTTAAAATGATAACTTTTTAAAAATCATGGGAGGGGGAATTTATGGCAGTCTTCTAGAATATAATGGGTACTTTACTAATGTCATTGATTGGCTTAATTGAAATTCCAAGTATAGAAAGTGCTTTCTTTCTTCTTCTTCTTCTCGTTTTTTTTTGAGTCAGAGTCTCACTCTGTTGCCCAGGCTGGAGTGCAGTGGCACGCTCATGTCCACTGCAGCCTCAACCATCTGGGCTCAGGCAATCCTTCTGCCTCAGTCTTCCAAGCAGCTGGGACTACAGGCATGCACCACCACACCCAGCTAATTTTTTGATGTACTGTAGAAATGAGATCTCGCCAAGTTGCCCAGGCTGGTCTTGAACCCGTGGGCTCAGGCAATCCTCTCACCTCAGCCTCCCAAAGTGCTGGGATTATAGGCATGAGCCAATGCGCCTGGTCTATTTTCAAGGAAAAATAAATGTGGCTGATAGAGAATCATATAGTTTAAGAATTGGAAGTTGTTTAATAACTGAGCAAATTCAACAATACCTCCCCCTGGCTGTCTTTCAGATGCTAAACTGAGATGTGGAGAAGTTAAGGGACTTGCTCTCTTACCCAACCAGTTAAGCCTCAGCCAGAACTTGAGCTCAAGTTTCCTAACATGGAATCCAGTCTCTTTCCCATCAATTCCTCCTTGCTCAGTCCTGCTGAAAGATCTCTCCTGACCACCTGTACAGGTCTCTGCCTATTTACTTCCCAGTCACACTCAGCCCAGCCTGGGCCAACTAGGCACTTTTTCCCTAACCTTGGTCTAATCTCCCCATCTAGGACCTCAACTCCTGGAGTAGCATGACCTCACAAGCTCCAGGTCTTTTCGTAGTTTAAACACATAGTATTCGCTTAATAAATATTTGCTGGTCAATTTATTAAAAACAGTTTTGTAAAGGCAAACTCCCCTGAGAACTCATCAACTTTCAAAGTCTCTTTTTTTTTATACTTTACATTATAAATATTATTGCTTTATAGAGACAGTGTCTCACTATGTAACCCAGACTGTTCACAAACCACCCAAGGCTTAAATGTCCTCCTGCCTCAGTCTCCCAAAGTGCTGGGATTATAGATGTGAGCCACCGTACCTGGCCTAAAGTCTTATTTTAAGGTTGGGGACAGACAGGTTCAGTGGCTCATGTTTGTAATCCCAGCACTTTGGGAGGCCAAGATGGGAGAATTGCTTGAGCCCAGCAGTTCAAGACCAGCCTAGGCAACATAACTAGACCTCATCTCTACAAAAAAAATCAAAAAATTAGTTGGGTATGGTGGCCCACGTATGTAGTCTCAGCTACTTGGGAGGCTGAGTTGGGAGGACAGCTTAAGCCCAGGAAATGGAGGCTGCAGTGAGCCATGATTATGCCACTGCA